AATACTGTGGACACTTGCCTTTGGGCCATCCACGATGAAGATGTGCAATAACCTCTGCAGTTCAGAATCTTTTGCAGTTTCCTCCGCAATGAGTCTTAACATCTCATCTGAGACTGGTAGAGATGAAACCACCATACTCACATGTCTCTCAACTTCGTCCATATTGCTGATCTCTGAGGCGGCTGGTGCTCGAGACAGTGCATCAGCTACAATGATATACTTTCCAGGGGTATAAACTAAATTCAGATCATATCTTTGTAACTTCATCATCATGCGTTGAAATTCTAGGTGACATGTCATTTAAGTTCTTTTGAATGATAGATATTAATGGTTTATGATCCGTCTCTACTGTAAAAGTAGGTAATCCATAAACAAATCCATGGAATTATCACAGCCAAATACTAACCCCAAGGTCTCTTTTTCAATTTGAGAATAGCGTCTTTCAGTCTCTGTCAGAGATCGAGAAGCATAGGCCACAGGTCTCCAGGAATCCCCAATGGCCTGAAGAAGCACCGCCCCCAATCCATCCTGAGAGGCATCTGTAGAGATCTTAGTTGGACGTGTGTGATCAAAAAAAACAAGGACAGGTTCAGTGGTAAGAATCCCCTTTAACCTCTTCCATTCTTGATCATGAACTGATGACCACACAAACTCTTGATCATTTTGTAACAACTGTCTCATATGTGTGGTTCTCGCTGAAAGATTTGGCAGAAAATTTTCCAAGGAAGTTTACCATTCCCAACGCACGCAGAATTCCCTTCTTGTCACTAGGTGGAGGCATATCAAGGAGGGCTTGTACTTTGCTGGGTGTGGCTCCACACCTTTTGCCGACAGCTTGTCACCAAGAATGTTATCTCTGTGACTCCAAATTGACACTTTTTCTGATTGAGCTTTAAATCATGTGCACGAACTCTTTCCATCACTTTTACCAGTCGTTGATTATGCTCTTGAAGGGTGGACCCCCACACCACAAGATCATCAATATATACACGAACACCCTCCAGACCTTCAATAAGGGTTTCCATGGCTCGATGAAAATCTCGGGAGCTGACTTGATCCCAAAGGGAAGTCGAAGAAAACAATATCTTCCAAAGGGAGTATTAAAAGTACAATACTTGGTGCTCTCAGAATCCAATCGGATCTGCCAAAACCCTTGAGAAGCATCTAATTTACTAAAAAACTTAGCTCCTGACATGTCACTAATGATCTCTTCACGGGTGGGAATCTGGTAATGTTCTCTTTTTATACAATCATTGAGATCTTTAGGGTCTAAGCATACTCTCAACTCACCATTTGGCTTTTTCACACAAGTGATGGAATTCACCCAATCTGTAGGTTGTTCAATCCGCTGTATAACTCCTGATTGAGTCATGCGATCCAATTCCTGCTTCAAGAGATCTCGCAGAGGTGCAGGAACCCGCCGAGGAGCATGTATGACTGGTGTGGCATCATCTTTCAGTTGTATTTTATAGGTAAATGGCAATGTGCCTTGACCTTCAAAAACATCTGGAAATTGTTTGACAATGTCAGTTACATCATCACAGACAGTCTGTAAGACTACAGTTTCCCTGTTGACTTGATAAACTCTTTTAACCAAATGAAGGTCTTCACAAGCTTTATCTCCTAGAAGAGATTCATGGCCGTTGGGAACTACAACAAACATCAAACTTTGCATCTTTCCTTTGACTTGTAATGTTAATCGACATACTCCTTGTGTTTCAATTGATTGTCCATTATAAGCTTTAAGGGGAACTGTACGTTTTTTAATGAGAGGTTTTTCTTTCAATGCTTTCACATCTCTAATGTTAATCAAATTAGCTTTTGCACCCGTGTCTAATTTAAAAGGCACAATGGTCCCATTAACCACAAGAGGAACAATCCATTTCGAAGACGAAAACTTCACTGAATCCTCTCTGGTTACACATGTTGCAGCATCCTGATTTATATTCTCTTCGGAAACCATGTTGACATAAAACGAATCACTCAAGGAGTCACTGTCATCTGCCTCCTCCACAACATGCACTTTATTTTCCCTCTTCATGTTCCCTGCTTGTCCAATAGCGACAACATACAACTCGAACTGTTGTTTGAAAGTCCTCCAATTTGCATCCACATTTCCACACAACTTCAGCGGCCCCGGTGGTTTAATGGCATCCATTGCTCTTTTCTACTGACCCCACTCCTGGTACCATGTATTGTTCAGGCAACAATAATAAAGATAAGAGAAATGACTGGTACAGGCTTCTTTTATTCCACGTGGTTGTACACACAACATATCTCCATTACCACACCACTCTTTAGCCAATGCACTTCATCTTATACAACACATTACTGCCATCTGCTGGAATCAATCATATACAGCTGTACTCATTACATTAACTAGGCTAGTGTGGATAAAAGATGGAGGAAAAAAAAACAACCACATGGCAGTTCGATTCAAACTATAACTTAGCTATTCGACGATGGGTAAGGAATAAAGCGATTACTTTCACCTAATTTAACTGAACTGGACGTGTTAAACACGATGTGGTTAATATGCAAATATTGCATTACACTCCCCATTGCACATGAATGTCATTAAAAATAGCCTTATTATATTTAACCTTTTATTCATGAAGATAGGCTCTCTTTCTGCGCCTGCGTGTGAATCGGGAACCCGACGCTGCAGATACACAAATCATAAACAAAGCAGTGTGTGCTTTATTCAAATGCACATGAGCTAGAATCCAGTTCTTAATGCACATGTGAACGCCATCAGCGTTTATCACAGGTTCGCGTTTAAAGTCTGTTTAGAGACATTCATAATTTTTTACCTTACAGTTACTGTGTAAACCCTAATGTGGTCTTTACTTTATCAAGTGCACTTGACTAAACATTACTTTAAATTTAGCATGTTGGCCCTGTCACTCAAAAATATAAGTTCAAATAACTTTTTACCTTAAAAATACATAAACTTAAGATTTCAAGTGCTGTGAGCTCAAAATCATGATTAATCCTTAAAGGTCATTTTCACAAATGTTGTTTTCTTGACTGTGAAATAAATACTTATGCTTTCTTCAAGTGCAAGGTGTCATTCTTATTTTACCAGAAAACAAATGGCTTTCATTATTTTACAGTTATTGATTGTAATGGAAATAAACTGATTTAAAAAACAAAAAAAAAACAACCTGATACTTTAAAACTTTCAACATCAAAATCCCCTTGTTAAATTTACACTGCTTCAGTGTTTATATGAGTCCACACTCAAGAGTGTTATAAGTAACACTGAAGCACTGTTAAAGTTAATGAGACAATTAAGTGATTAATTGAGTGATGATTGAGCATCATTTGTACAAGTTCTGAAAGTAGTTCATAAATGCCAGAGGAGAACTGGCCCCCGACTGAGCCTGGGTTCTCCCAGGGTTTTTTTTTCTCCATTGGGTCACCTGATGGAGTTTTAGGACACCATTGGGTCACCTGAGGGAGTTTTAGGACACCATTGGGTCACCTGATGGAGTTTTAGGACACCATTGGGTCACCTGAGGGAGTTTTAGGACACCATTGGGTCACCTGATGGAGTTTTAGGACACCATTGGGTCACCTGATGGAGTTTTAGGACACCATCGGGTCACTTGATGGAGTTTTAGGACACCATCGGGTCACCTGATGGAGTTTTAGGACACCATTGGGTCACCTGAGGGAGTTTTAGGACACCATTGGGTCACCTGATGGAGTTTTAGGACACCATTGGGTCACCTGATGGAGTTTTAGGACACCATTGGGTCACTTGATGGAGTTTTAGGACACCATTGGGTCACCTGGAGTTTTAGGACACCATTGGGTCACCTGATGGAGTTTTAGGACACCATTGGGTCACCTGATGGAGTTTTAGGACACCATTGGGTCACCTGATGGAGTTTTAGGACACCATTAGGTCACCTGAGGGAGTTTTAGGACACCATTGGGTCACCTGATGGAGTTTTAGGACACCATTGGGTCACCTGATGGAGTTTTAGGACACCATTGGGTCACCTGATGGAGTTTTAGGACACCATCGGGTCACTTGATGGAGTTTTAGGACACCATCGGGTCACCTGATGGAGTTTTAGGACACCATTGGGTCACCTGAGGGAGTTTTAGGACACCATTGGGTCACCTGATGGAGTTTTAGGACACCATTGGGTCACCTAATGGAGTTTTAGGACACCATTGGGTCACTTGATGGAGTTTTAGGACACCATTAGGTCACCTGAGGGAGTTTTAGGACACCATTGGGTCACCTGATGGAGTTTTAGGACACCATTGGGTCACCTGATGGAGTTTTAGGACACCATCGGGTCACTTGATGGAGTTTTAGGACACCATCGGGTCACCTGATGGAGTTTTAGGACACCATTGGGTCACCTGAGGGAGTTTTAGGACACCATTGGGTCACTTGATGGAGTTTTAGGACACCATCGGGTCACCTGAGGGAGTTTTAGGACAACATTGGGTCGCCTGATGGAGTTTTAGGACACCATTGGGTCGCCTGATGGAGTTTTAGGACACCATCGGGTCACCTGATGGAGTTTTAGGACACCATCGGGTCACTTGATGGAGTTTTAGGACACCATTGGGTCACTTGATGGAGTTTTAGGACACCATTGGGTCACTTGATGGAGTTTTAGGACACCATTGGGTCACTTGATGGAGTTTTAAGACACCATTGGGTCACCTGATGGAGTTTTAGGACACCATTGGGTCACTTGATGGAGTTTTAGGACACCATTGGGTCACTTGATGGAGTTTTAAGACACCATTGGGTCACCTGATGGAGTTTTAGGACACCATTGGGTCACTTGATGGAGTTTTTTGGTTCCTTGCCACTGTTGCCTTTGGCTTGCTCAGTTGGGGATATTCAAATTAATTAACCAATCAGTTGATTCTTGATCAGCTCTACCAAACGTGGATATTTTTCCACTAAGAAACGAACATTGTTATTATGTTTTCATTGATACTGTGAAGCTGCTTTGATACAACTGTAACTTCAGAGACAGAGCTTCTGAAAGTAAAACTTCGGCCTTTTTTAGCCAGTGTGAAACCACACAGACCTTCACAAGAGTTGCATTATGACGGGCTCAACAGTTTACTTGAGCTAAAAGCAACAAGTTCACACCTCAGCTGTTATTACTCGGAAACACACACACATTATTAGTGTTATAAAAAGCAACTTCAACCTCCTTGTCTGTTTGTTTGAAGAAGCGCTGTGATCTGACTGAAAGCAAATTACTGTCTGATCTTCTGAAAACAGACAACAGTATTCTCAGGTAAGTTTAGGGGTTAAAGAACAAGGTCAACGTTATTGTGCAAATCTACACGCACATTCCTGATATAAATGTAATATTTTTGAACCTTTCTTGTCTTTCAGCATCAGGGATTTGACTGAATCAAGATGCTGCTGATCATTGAAGCTCTTCTCATTTTAGCTGCGCTGGGACAGGTAAGCTTGTGTTCTGGTATGAATATTACATGAATACTAATGATGTGATCATTACGATTCCTGTTTCTGCAGGATCACAGAGCTGCGGTTGCAGGACTAAACTTGGATATGGCAGTGAATTCAGTTGATGACTATTATTACGGCTGCAGAGTGAAAATGGCAGAAAAGGTGGAGAAAGAATATCTAGTGAAGGATCGTGGTAACCCTAAATTTAATAATGCTTGGGAAGAAGGTGAAAGGAAGGCAGTCAATGCAGGTGATGCTTTGAAACGTACTAACTCAATTGCCATTTACGTGTACACTAACACAGTACAATATAAAATATATACTCAATTTAATAATGACACTCGACATGGAAAACAAAATTACACAGCTGGGACATACAAATGGTATTCACTTCAGTTTCTATTAACAGAAGCGATAGAGACTCTGAGGGAACAACAAAATACATGCTTTAAAACCTTTCGTGGTACGAAGCTTGCAATTACTGGGTTTACTTTTCCAATCGTTCGTTTCGGCTCATTTACATCCTCCTCTCTTGATCGTAACGTAGCAAAGCGTTTTGGAAGTAAATTTTGTTTTGAAATCTACACTTGTTTAGGTGCTAATGTGGAAAAATATTCTAGGCTTCCTTATGAGAAAGAAGTGCTGATTCCTCCTTATGAAAAGTTTAGAATCACTGGAATCAAGACGAGACAAACTCAGAAAGATCTCTGGTGTGAGACTGTAATCACTTTGAAACACGATGGAGCAAGAAGTGAGCTGAACTGTGCTCTATTCAAGAAAAAAACAAGACCAGAGCAAACTATTATGGTGTAGTTTTACAAACTATTAAAGTACTTTGAGTTTCTGGTGACACTGTATTACTTTGAAAAGCTCTGGAAAAATAAGTGACCTGAATTGTACCGTGGCATCCAACAGTGGAAAACAAGTTGCTTTCTTGAAGACTGTTCTAATTGTTACATTATTTTGTTATGTGCTAACATGTAGATTTTGCATGTTTCTTGTTGTTATTGTGTGTTTTATTGAATTACAGCATTTGTCTAATTGTACGATTAGTTGGTTCACAAGGTAAACATCAGAAAATGCTTTTTGTTTTTATTCAACTTCTGTCAAGCAAATAAATCTTTCAAAGCATATTCTTTTCTCTCATAATTCTCAAAAAACTACTTGTGTTTGCATGTTATGGTGAGAACATAAATCAGTGAACAACTGGCAGCTTTTCCAGTGAATAAATGACGCCACCAGCTGGAGAAAGAGGAAAGCACACAATGAAAGAAATCAATGTAATATTTTAAGGCAGAAGGTGAATATTACTCAGTGAGGCTGTTTTAGACTGACAAAAAGATGTTTATTTGAGAATTATTTGACGGTCCACCGGTTTTGACGTTCACCAGGTAACAGACACCAAACACAATCTGTATCAAATTCAGTGTAAAACTATGAGCTGAGAAATGAGCAAACGCCAGATAAAGGCGCTTCATTTCAGTGGATTTTATAAAAACGTGGAAACCTGACGTTATTCTCTCTCCGAGATGGCTATCAGATGTGCCTCGATCTCTTTCTCTGACAGAGTCCTGAAACACACAGACACATGTGCTATATGAGGGTGTATTTGTGCCAAAAAGCGGCTGACTGCTTTCAACTTTGCACCTTTACATTTATTTCTTTAGCAGACGCCTTTATCGACTTACAAATGGGTCAAATGAGTCATTGCGTACTTGACAAAAAAAAGTATATGTTTATGTTGTCTATTTTGGAAGGCTTTTTGCAAAAAGTATGGCATTCTGTTTGTGTCAAAAATGTGGAGACTATTTTTCCCCCACCATCTTTCCCAAATAAATGAAAGTAAATAATTCTATTCATCCAAGCGTATAGAACAGAAAGATAATATGAGCAGTCCTCATTGGATAAAAGAGTCTGCTAAATGCATAAATTAATGAAAATGCATCTAAAAGTTTAAGAAAACTTATTGAACAAATCTAAATGTTGTGTTTGTTTACCTGGATATTTCTTAAATGCATTACAGAACAGAAACTTAAAAATTGGTTCCAGTGAAAAATACAAACTGTTGCACCATCTTGTTCCCACCTGATCTGCAGTAACAATATTATTAAGTGTACTTGTGTGCAGGTTTTGTGGGTCTGTGGGTTCAGTTTCTGTCCCATACACTCTGAGAAATCTGGTCACTCTAGCTAGTAGATTAGCCTATATTTTTTTTGTTAATCTGCATTGTTCGTCACATACACAACACAGTGCTATCTAGTGGCTTTCTTGAGTAACAGGCACAATCACCTAAAACTACGCCAAAACCAATTTGATTTAAGATTCTACACTTCACAAACATGAGTCACAAAACCTCCAGGTTTCCACCAACAACACAACAATAATAAAAGCAATGTATAACATGCTAAAATAAAAAATAAATAAATAAAAATAGCAATGTAGCAGACAAATTCTCCATTCCTACCATCTCATTAGCTCCAGAGTCGTCTCCACGCACGTTGTTGTTGGTCAAAGTCGTCTTTGTCAAAGACGAATCTTTAAACCACTTTCTTATATCCATAGCTAAGCTTTGCTGTGGCTGTAGGCCTAACCTGCACAAAACCGCCAGAATTCGATTCTGAGATCGCAAGCACTGCGCAGCTGCGCAGAATTACGTATAAAAGCATGATTAACTAAATTAAGTTCATGATTTATGATATATACTTACAAACAATCTGCATATTGTAATTTGAATAAATAAAACTATATGACATAAAAATAACATATTGAAAAGTCTGCTGCTGGAGACTTTGCCAATGGCTGTTGTATTTGAATAATTAATGAGGAAGGTCTTTGCAAGGTTTGGGTGCTGTTTTGGGATGTTTTAACAGTCATTTATGAATATAATTATATTTCAAGTTTAATCGTTCTGTGTAATAATGCATTGAATAATTAATTTTCTGAACAATTTCTAAAGAGAATATGTTATGCATTCCTACCGTTGTAGAGCTTACCGTTCCTGTGAGATAAGTTCTGCGGAAACCTTGTTCTAGCGTCTAATTGATTACAAATGTACACATTTATTTTAACAAATGAGGGGGGCACAGTAGATCAAACTCAACTGATCCAGCTAATGAACCATTGGGATAGAGAGAGCTGGGATGGATGATGGATATTGTTTTTCTTTGTAAATGTGTTTCTACAGCTTTAGTCCTCCACTCTCTCTCTGTGTGTCACTTCTTGTTTTAGAGAGCTGTTGTAACGCCACGTGTTCACTACAGTAGTAAACCCACAAGAGAGAGAGTCATGTTACACACACAAGTCAGAAAACGTTGCTGTCTTATCATTTGAAACTCTGAAGGACTCATATTTTCCCTCCTCAGGGCCTTGTTCATTCATTATTCAGACAGAACAATATTCAGATTAGTAACTAATATGAGTTTATCAGAGTCTATAGCCTTCAAAAGAGCAAATTATTATCTAATTTTTGGAATTATTGTTGTCTTTTTAGAGTTCAATGATTTTCAAATCCCTCATACACCCCCCCTCGTCCACACACACACACACACACACACACACACACACACACACACACACACACACACACCTATCACCAGCACAGATAATGTGATCTGCTAAACGCGCCCACACAGACTTTCGAGCCTGCTAGACTCTGACTCACACTTATCCTACACTAGCCAACTGATGATGATGATGATGAAAATCATTCTAAATATTTCTTTATGAAGCAGCATCCATATGAACAAACAGATTTTTGTGACAGTGTTTTACTGCCCTTTACCTTCTTCAAAATGTGCACCAACTGAAACATTATATAATCAGATTCATTTCAGACACATTTGCACACTTACAGTCTTATTTCTGAGAATATAACTGGCTGAAACATGCACTTAAATAAAGAGAGATAACTATCGTCTAAAAATGGCATACTACATGTTATAGAACAGAAGGCTTGTATATGCTGCAGAATGCTATTATTCCATCCAAACACAGTCTAATATTCACTCATAGACCTGTGGCGCCACCTACCGGCCAAAGCTTGTATATGTAGCTGACTATAAAACTACAAATTAACTCAATAAAACTACAGGTTCCATAAACAGCAGCATAAATCAGCCAGATCACAAATCAAACACTTCTGAAGAGCATGACTAGAGAAGTATGCTTATAAAATCAAAACAAACAAAACACACACACACACACACACACACACACAAATAAAAGTAAAACAAACTTACTTAAAGCATTCCTATGGGTAATGTAGTGCAATAGATTTAGTAGTGTAATTTGTGGGATATAGTACAAATAGATCTATATATCTGGGGAAAAAGGTAAAATTAAAGAAAAGGACAAATTCACGACATGTCAGAGAAGAAGTCTGAGGGGAAATCCTCCACATTGGGACACAGCGATACTGTGGACATAGTTGGATCTCTGCACATGTCTAGTTGGCTCTCTACCCCTATGTTGGGGGTAGAGAGACCACTATATAGACACTTTCGGAGACTACTCGATCGTCTCTCGGCGCCGTTGATTACATCATCTGTAAGCTGTGCCGAGCCGGCTCTGGGCTAAATAGATTTTTTAAAATAAATACATTACATTATATTGAGCTTATTTCTCCAAAATTTAAAAACTAAAAGTGATTTCTGGCCGTTTTTGTTATAACGCGCTACTCCACACATGATTATAACTAATTTTTACGATCCGCGCAATGCATGATGGTATGTAGGGCTTAGGTTAGTGACCATCGGTTGTACCCTACTTTTCAAAATGCATTCTGGGATACATTGAGTGGACTATATAGGGTATAATAATCATCACTATACATTCGGACAGCACTACCAAATGGCGAGCTCACTATATAGTCCACTATATGGGTGATTTGGGACATAGCAGAAGTCTAGATCGATGCACACTCTAACGGCTGATATTGCCCACAACCCTTTGCGCATTGAACGAGGATTCGGTTCGATTCGGTTAGAACTACAAACACAAGTAAAAAGTGTTAAAAAACCCGCGGTTATGTTGAGAGGTTTAGATAAAGAGGTTTGAGTGATTAATTAACACTGTCTGACCTGACGAAAATTAATTTATTCAATGTTTTCCCCATTATATTGCATCTGCAGCAGCATTGTGAACTTTTGTAAGGATACGTTTAGCCATTACTTTTTAAATGCATCATAATATTCAAATTGCAAAACACGAGGAAAGTATACACATTAAAGACCCATGACTGGCAGATTAACGTGCTCCGATATGGTAGGAAATCAAATTAGATTGAATGGAGGATTTTAACTGTGACGAGATGATTGACAGTAAGGCAAGCCGTCTTAGCTTTTATTCATCTCCAGGATATGAATTCTTGATATCAACAATGCCATTTTTTGATATCAAGAATTGAATTGTTGATATCAACAATTGAATTGCTGATATCTGCAATTGTATTTTCATTAGTGATATGTCACCATAGGCTGCCATTCAAAATGAATTGTTGATATCAAGAATTGATTTTTTTACTAGTAGAAATATCATTTTTGATATCAATAATTACATTTTTACTAGTAAAAATATGAATTCCTGATATCAATAATTAAATTGTCACTAGTTGAAATGTCTATTCTTGATATCAACACTTCAATTGTTACTAGTAAAAATTACCATTTTTGATATATGAAAATGTATTTCTGATATCAATATTATTTCAAATATCTAAAATGGCTTTCTTACTAGTAACAATCACATTCATGATATCAGAAATTAAAATGGTCACTGGTAAAAATGTAATTATTGATATCAAAAATGAACATTGTTACTAGTAGCAATTCAATTGTGGATATCAAGAATAGACATTTCAACTAGTAACAATTTTATTCTTGATATCAAAAAATGGAATTGTTGATATCAAGGATTCATATCCTGGGGATGAAAAAAAGCTAAAACGGTGACAGGATTCACGCAGCACGCGACAGAGCCGTCCGTTAAAGATGAAGTGATAGTATGTCCCAAAGCTTGCCCACTCTTTTGCTACATACTCAAAAGTATGTACTTTTTCTTCACAAAAAGAGTACATACTTTTAGGGCGTAGTATAAGTAAGCGAATTGGGACGCAGGGGATGACTTCCTTAAGGAAGAAACACGTTTCGATTGATTTTTCACACAGCAAGCACCCAGATTCTGCACGAAAGCTTTGTCTACACCTAAATAAATGACCAGAAAGTTAACTAGTGTGGATAAAAGATGCAGAGAGAAAAAACACAAAGCAGTTTAATTCAAATTAAGATTTCAAGTGCTGTGAGCTCAAAATCACGATTAATCCTTACAAATGGTCATGATCAATTGTGTCAAAAGCTGATGAGAGGTTCAATAAGACAGCAAACAATTTTAGGTTCTGGGAACGTTCTTTTTAGGAGAACCTAAAAAATAACCTACAGGGAATGTTCCCAGAACGTTCTTATTTGGTTCCCAAAAAAATAACCAAATAAGAACCATACGGGAACGTTAGAAGAACATTCTGTGTTTGCTGGGATATTGTGCACTGTGTATTTTTTAGAGTCAGCTGACATCATAATATCACTTGAAACTTTAAGTAACGCTGTTTCTGTGGAATGTTTTTTTGCGAAAACCAGACTGGAATTTGTCAAATAACTCATGATTCTCATGGAAAAGGGTGAGTTTTTCAGCTACAACTAATGAGTATAATACGCATGATGTAGAGGCTGATATTGATCCTGACAACAATTTTTTTCCACCTTAAATAGCAACTGTAATTATTATACAAATGATCAATATAGCAATAACTGCATTACTAAGGGTAAATTGTCTATTGTCTATCGGAAACTTGGTTCAATCAAGAGAAAGGAATCGACTTTGAGATGGATGATTATGAATTGCATTACATAAAAAGACTAAATAAAATAGGAGGTGGGATGGCGCTATATGTGCATAAGACGATAAAATATTCGGTTCTAAATAATATGTCATTTGTACTTGATAATGTAATGGAATGTATAACAAAAGAAATCAATAATGGAATGAAAAAAAAAACATTATTATAAATTATGTTTATAGATTACCTGGGTCAAACGTTGATACTTTTAATGGAAAGATGGAGAATCTGTTTTCAGCAGTTAACAATAAATCCTTATTCATCTGTGGGGATTTCAACATTGACCTCTTAAACCCAAACAAACACAAACTGACCGATGAATTCATTGAAAAAAAATTTACTCCATGTCCTTATTTCCAAAAATAACAAAACCCAGTAGAATCACATCTCACAGTGCAACCTTAATTGATAACATCTTCACAAATAACTTGACTAATAACTTAATTAATGGCTTGCTAATTTGTGATATTACGGACCTCTTGCCTGTTTTTGTCATATATGATTGTAATGTTTCTAAAACCAAAGAAATCTGTAATATAAGCTGAAAAAGACTACAAACTCAAGATTCATTTAATGCACTTAATGATGACCTGATAGTGCAAGACTGGAGCTCTGTTTGTGGAGATATAGACACGAACAGAGCCTACAATAACTTTTTAGAAATATTTTAACATAATAAAATAACTTTATACAGGCATGTGATTGGCTAAGAACAAAAAAGCAGGAAAATATACAGACCACAACCCCCCCCCCCATCGATATATATCCCAATATCTTTTCCGCAAAGTGAGAGCAAATGTTCAAAGTCAAATATAGTCTTCACTGTATACATTAATTATACATTGATTATATTAAAGATACTATTAAAGTTCTCAGTCAAGAGCAGTGAGTGATTTCCTCTGTTTTGTTATTTAATTAACATTAAATAGATAGTTCTCCCAAAAATTTTAATTGTCATCATTTACTCTCTCAAGTTGTTTTAAACCTGAATAAGTTTCTTTCTTCTGTTCAAGTTATTTGGAAGAATGTGGGTAACCAAACAGTTGATGTACCCCAGTGATTTCCATAGTAAATTTTTCCCTATTGAAGTCAATGGGGACCAGCAACTGTCTGGTCACCCACATTCTTCAAAATATCTTCTTTTTTGTTCAGCACAAGAAATAAATTAATACAGGTTTGGAACAACATTACAGTGAATAAATAATGACATAATTTTTATTTTGGGGTCAACTATCCCTTTAAGAACAAGCGGCTGCATTTTTATTATTATGGCTACTGTCACTTTAAGACCTGTACGCGACACGTCTAATATACACGGAGCATTTGACAAGCAGATTTCTCTCAATTTTCTCGGTTTGCTTTGAGTTTAGACATAACCAAATTTTCTTATGTAAACCTTGTGTGTATTTGAGAGTATTAGCGAAATAATACTCGAAAGATAACTTAGTCCAGCAACCAGGCGCTGTTAGACAAGCTTTTAGTGCATGTGCACGTCGGGTGTTCGCGCTCAGAACAGCGCATCAGCAGTGAATGACATGTTTAACTGGCAAGGCTTTAAAGCACATGCAAATTAACTTTTGTGAACTCGCTGAACTGATGTAGCCGTTCCTCTGCGAGTATTTGTCGCGTTGTACACTAACGCCGCCTTCACACTGGCGGCTGCGAAACGACCGGAAGTCATTCATTTCCTATGGAGATTCACAGACCGCATGCATTAGACAATCTCTGGCTGAACGCAAATACGCCATTGTTGATACTTTGAAAGGAACTTTCTGTACGCACGTCAGCCAGTTATGGGTTATGTCCTCATATTCTCTCATTTTCACTCCGGCTGCCGACACCCGTCACCCTCTTTTTTTCTTTTCTTTTTTTTAACAGATCTGCATGATTCACGTAGGTCACATTTTCAGGTTGGAAAATCCGGAATTCCGGATTAATCTGGAAAAATCACATCCCTGTTTATATGATAAGCACTGCCCCATTTCAGTTCACAAATATGCAGTTAAGATATGCAGTGTTTTTTGTTTGTTTTTGTTTTTTCATGTATTCATAGGCTGTGTAGATTTTCGGATTACCATCGTTGGCATTACTATAACTATTTACCTGTTGTAATATATAGTGTGTATTTAAGAGATGTGGTGTTTTTGTTTTGTTTTGCTTTGTTTTTTTCTTTTCATACATATATAAAAAGTTGTAATTGCGAGGAATGATAATGTTCACAATTAAGGAAGTATCTACCTTTGTTTTTCTTTCCTGTTTTTCCCTTAACTGTAACAGTCCAGGGTGGGTCTAAATAAGTTTGCCTTCTTCCCACTCCGTTTTAAGCAATTGACTAATTTTTGTTGTCAAAAACCAAATGCTTCTTATTGCCTTTGTTATATGTCACTATATAGCTCGAAATAAAATTCATTCATTCATTCATTCATTCATTCATTCATTGTGAGTCTCTGTAGTGGATCCTTATTCACCATCAGATGGTCAGCAGAAGATCAGACTGTCATCTATACCAAAAATAAAACACATAAAAAGTCATATATGCAGTATGAAATATTACGTCCGTCACACAGCGAAAAGGTGTGAAATGTTCTGAACTGAAATATATTTACAGCTTAAATATACAAGCATGTTGAATTTCAGCCCATTAAAATGCAAGCCCTAAAATTACAATGCATCAAAGTGCAAGCAGGGTTAATGCAATGCATATTCGTTTGAGTTGTGCAATTCAACACGCTTTTTTGTTTTTCGAAAACATTTGTCATTATTTACTTCCATAGCTATATTAAAGGGCCCCTATTATGATATTTTAAAGTTTCCTAATGTTGTTTTGGAGTTTCATCTAACAGGTTTACATGCATCAAACGTCAAAAACTGTTTCATTTTCTCATTACAAAATATACATTTTCACATCACCAGATTTTCAATGATTCTCAAACGACTCATTTTTTACATTTTTTCATATTTCTTAAGTCTGTATGACCACAAATGATGGAAAATTTAATTCTATTTTCCTCCTATGTGAAAAAAAATCTAGCAAAACGTGCCGGCGCATTTGCCAACACCAGAAGGGTTAAAATTATTTTCACAATCAGTTACAACACTATAAGCAGAATTAAACTCATAAAACACACAGTTTAAATTTCAGAGACCTACAGAAACTGAAGCTGAATTTAAGACTCAATATCTGATGATCTCAGACAAAATATTCACACAATCGTGGTGTTACTGAACCTTTACTTTTATTTCTAGAAATTTTTACTGATAATGAAAATCGTTAAAAGCTATTCATACCATAGTCTCAAGTCTATATTGTGGATCATCAATTAGATCCTTCAGCTGCTTCACTCCTGAGTCTCCTAGTTTATTCCCAGACAGATTCAGTTTTCTCAGGTGTGATGGGTTTGATCTCAGAGCTGAAGCCAGAGCAACACAACCTTCATCTGTGACTCCACAATCCTCCAACCTGTAGAGAAGAATGACACACATTAAGCCTATATAAAGAGATAAACAAAACACTTAAACTATAAATAACATAATGCTGACAATATAAAATATATACTCATTGGTTCATGTTGTTAAAATAATTTTTTTTAGGATTAGGGGATTGAATATACAGCTTGTACAGTATACAAATCATTACTTCTAAGGAAAGTCTGCATAAAACACGCAAATCTAACGTGTGTGTGTGTGTGTGCGCACTTAATGTATTTGTAAACATTTTAAGGAATGTGTTTTAGTTGTTATCTATGAGTGTCGTAAAATCTTTTTCAATTTTACACGTGGAAGCGTCGTTAGACTGAATGCACTGAAAAATCCTCGCACTACTTATATGCTGAAAGAGAGAGATGAGACAGTAGAGCTGCATGATTTCTCTTTAAAATACAGTGATCTCCATTCATACACCCACATGATCTTCTTCTAATTCCTAATTCCTCAGTCTATTAAACCTTTGACCAAATCATATCGCAACATTTTAAATCTGTGTTGGCGCTGCCGCTGACCCGGAGAGAGTTGTCATGAAACAGCTTAATAGAAGTACTGGGATAAAAGTTTAAAGTTCAAATATAAAAACTGAGATCAGGAGATAGGTGCATAGTCCCAGCCCCCGTGTGTGTCTGTCTGTGTCTGTTTGTGAGTGTGTTTATGAGTGTGTGTGTTTGTGTGAACTTAATACATTTGTAAACATTTTAAGGAACTCTTAAAACTAATGTAATTAATGTCAAATAAAGGCTGTATTAAAGCAATTAGTGACATTTTCCAATTTGCCAAGATGTAATCTAAAGTAAGAACTATTTATGGTTAACATGTTGTAAACAAAGCATTATCTTATTTTTTACATAAGGCTAAAAAAACAATAACACTTTGTTAATTACATTGACAGAATGGAGAACTCACTATTTCCACGTAGTCTTTTAATATATTAACTACAGCTTAGATCCCATTATATACTATTCTTTAACTATAAACTAAGAGTTTGCAAATTATTTATAAGTGTTTTGTTACTGTATACTTGTGATAAAGTGTTAGCATGATATTAAATTGGTCAAAATTATTATTAGTTATAAATGTAATGTTCATTTTGTATGCGATGGAGTGATTCTTTTTCAAAAATTATACAAAATAAACAGAGTAAAGATGAACTTGACTGATAGCATTTTAGTTTTTTTCCATAGATATGGCGATATATTTTTATCGGGATTTATTTTGGCCATGATAATCATGTAGTGATATGACAGTCCTGGTTTTGGTGAAACAAACACCACTTCCCTCTTTTCAGCTGCACACACATTTTGAGGCACTGCTCATGCTTTTACAAGAGTCTGCTTGCACAAGCATTACAAGGCAAGTTGATTTACACAAAACATTTGTGCTTTAAAAAAACTCTTCACTGTATCCTGTATCTGTTTGTTTGTTTATTTAACTTGTTAGTTTTCTTTTCTTTTGGGGGATAATGATATATTAAGATGTAAATGTTCCTCTACAGGTCGACTCCTCACCGCTGTCTTCTACCGCCGGCAGGATCTGACGGTTCAAGCAGGAATCTGTCGCTTAATCACCGGATGGGGCTTAAATATTAATATCTAAATATTAATCCTTTTTCACTCAGAGTCTTTATGGTAGAGATGATCTTACCACAGTTCCTCCAGTTTACAGAGAGGATTCTCCAGTCCAGCAGAGAGCAGCTTCACTCCTGAGTCTCCTAGTTTATTATATGACAGATCCATTTCTCGCAGGTGTGAGGGATTTGATCTCAGAGCTGAAGCCAGAGCAACACAACCTTCATCTGTGACACCACAATTATCCAACCTGTAGAGAATAGTGACACATTAGGCCTATATCCAAAGCTATAGAGAACACTTAAAAATTAAATAACACAATGCTGTCATATGAAATAATGGTCATTAAAAATAGTCATTAGTTCGCATTGTTAAAATATTTCAGTTAGTATTAAGGGATTGAATATAGAGTTTTTATAGTATAAAAATCATTATTTCTATGGAAAGTTCCCATAAAGCATGGAAAGACAGCGTGTGTGATTAATATGTCTGTAAACATTTTAAGGAACATGTGTGTGTGTTAGGGCTAGGAGGGAAAAAAATCTATTCACCTAAATAATTGCAATTGCAAAAAAAAACAAAAATTTTTTAAAAACGACAAGCCAGTTGGAGTTACAAAAACTTGCAATATATAACTATTATCAGACCGGCCCTCGCGGCCTTGGAACACTACCGGCCCACCGGAAAAAGGTCTCCCGATTGCCACTCCGCCCCTGACAATGAATGAAGAACTCACTATTTGAATATAGTCTCTTACTATATTAACTACAGCTTATATACTATTATATAATATTCATTAAATATAAACTAAGAGTTTGCAAATAATTTATAAGCGACTTGTTACTGTATACTTGTGATCTGATCCTTTTTCACTCAGAGTCTTTATGGTAGAGATGATCTTATTCTTACCACAGTTCCTTCAGTTTACAGAGAGGATTCTCCAGTCCAGCAGAGAGCAGCTTCACTCCTGAGTCTCCTAGTTTATTATCAGACAGATTCAGTGTTCGCAGGTGTGAGGGGTTTGATCTCAGAGCTGAAGCCAGAGCAGCACAACCTTCATCTGTGACTCCACAATTCTCCAACCTGTAGAGAACAATCACACTCTTCACTCTCTTAGATCAAAACAGATTTTTTCTTAATTGTGTTCATAATTTGTGCATTATCTCTTCTTTTAAACAATTAATTCAATATGAGATTTCTAAGAGACTGTTTTCATAAGAGATTACGTCTCTATGCAAGAGAGAAAGTGTCAGAGAACAGAGAGAGGAGCCAAATGCAAGAGGTGCGGGTTAACAACAGTTTAAGTTTATTCAGTCACAAAAGAACTTAAGCAGTCTGCCGTTCAATAAGGAAAATAAGGGCTTGATCGTGGATACAGAACCGGTTGAATTAATCAGGAAGAAGCAGTCTGAAAACTTAGGAATAGTCCTCAGTAGTGATATTACATATAACACTGAAGCTTCAAAGCATGTATCGAGTTCGCAGCGCAATTTCTCATAAAGCTTTGTGCCAGAATACGTATTGTTTTCAGAGAAAGACGTGATCAATGAAAAATGAATCCTTCCTTTCTTTCCAGTCACGTAAATGCAACATGACATCATGACTTTTGCGTAAACATACACGCCACGTTCAAGTCAAGTGGCGTGTTATCTATAAGCATTTTGAGCTATCCGCGTGTATGTCTACGCCATTAAATGTCAGAATGATTCCACATGTATGTACACGCTGTTAAATGTCCGAGTGATTCCGCGAGCGACACGAAGCAAAATGTAGATCTACATTTGGGGAGCGATATTTTTTTTCCTAGGATGGTGGGGGAAGTCTCATAAATGCTATTAACCCCAGTGACGGGTAGGTTTAGGGACGGGGTTGGGGTAGGCCATATATTTATACATACTGTAATGTAATATTAAGTCAACGGCGTTCATAAACACGCTGAAAAGCGATTATGCGTGTTGATAACACGGCAAAAATGGAAATACGAATTGGCATGTCATACACACGCTACTTCATGAGATCAGTCTGGTAAATGTTTCGCTTTGCGTGTCGTAATGTTTGAACCCAGACCACTACTTTACAGGTTTATGGAAGTGTAAGCCCATTTACTCCACTTTTTTTTATTTTTAGGAATAAGCCTATAGCCTTTGTTTCATAATCAGATATTCTGCCATTTAAACAGCGACCAGTAGAAACTTTAAAATAATCAGATCACCATTTACTTGCATCAAGCAACTCTTTTGATATTTTTATAATTAGTATTAACATAGTATATAGAGTACTATATTATCAGAAAATTGAACATTTAGCATTGGCAGACTATTCTATTTGAGCTTAATAGATATAATAATGGAGTTGCGCACTCTGGCCTTATGGCTGGCACAAGATGGCCCTGTTATTGACACTCCTGATCTCACACTGGCAGCAGACAGAAGATGAAGAGCGAACAGCCCCAGTCAATGCCCACAGCACCACATACAAAAAGCGGAGAGACAACAGGGAAATAGAACCGTGATTGCTTAGAAGAGAAACAACACCACAATCATGAAAAGGATAGCAATAATCTGGCAAAGAAGCCCAAAACAGGTAAACACTAAATAGTAATCTCAATCCGTGAGAGCGCTGATTGTGATTACAAACAGATGGATAGGTTGCAGTAATGAAGCAAGTGAGAAAGAGGGAGAGGAGAAAAACAAACCTAACTGGCTTGCTCAGTTGGGGTTATTTAGTGTTTAGCAATGTTGTTGATCTGTGTTGTACTACTTTCATGTTATCACTGTGAAGCTGCTTTGATACAATCTGTATTGTGAAAAGCGCTATATAAATAAATGTGACTTGACTTGACTTGATGACATAAAGATTATATAAAACTGATATAATGGAATACATTTAATACATCTGTATTTTCCTTAAATATGAATGTATTAACATTTAAATTAAATGAATAAATATATAAAACAGTCTAAATATAAACATACATACATTAAAAATGCATATATTTAAAAAAAATCATAAAAAACTGTCAAGTAGATCACAAATCAGGTCAGATAGGTGGAGTGTTTAAAGCTCAAGTGTAACTCATATTATTTGTTAAACCATTAATGTATAATGTTAAGTAAGAACTGTTATAATATTTTAGCAGTGATGATTGTTCTCAGTGTTACTTACACAGCTGATCTAGTTGCTGTAACCACAGGTATCAGCTTCTGAAGAACTTCATCTCCAGTGTTTTGTGAGACACTAATTGAACTAAAAAAAGATTAGATAATAAAGATAAGATAATAAAGAAGTAAATTATTAATAATGATGTTAATAATAAAAATAATAGTTTTTTTTAAATTAAACAGTGCTTTATAAAAGGTGATGGAAAAAGTAGTTTTAATATCTATAACTGTAGAAGCTACTAATTGAATCAACAATACACATGTGTTTTTCTTTTGTTCTTCTTTTTTGTATACATGAAAAACGTACTTAAGTAAAGTAACATAGCACCACTGCTTACATTTCATAATGAACTCAAAATTACATCCGTTTTCAAAAGATCCTTCAAACTGAGATGACGTGGCAGTCGAGATACGCAGCCTTAAGGTCAGTACACACCGGGACGAATATCAGTGCGTGTTATTCGTCTGCATTTTTCAACGCGTTTTTTGTGTTCACACCCAAGCGATTTTCGCTGACGATGAGACGAGTGAACATGCATATTCATTCCCTAACATTAGCGAGTTCGTTTGGCCATAAAATCTTTAGGATATTAGGTTAAACTTATTTGGCTTGCTGTCCACTGGAGAGGGGTTCGATGAAGCAGCTTCAACTCGAGCTCTGATATACCCCCCCAGTGGCTTAATGTAGGACCTGTTAATTAAAGGGCAAGGTACCTAAGTTGAAGGTGGAGTTTGGGGAGGTGGATGGATACTGGAACGGCTGATACTAGGGAGAGGTAAGCGGCTGCTTATATACTCTGGTTGATGATTGAAAGACTGGATGGGCTCGCTCCTCCCTAACTTACGTTTAGGAACTTCATTTAGATGGCGCCAATTTGCTCTGCTACACAACTCCATAACAGTTCTCTTTTATCAAGATGTTTGTAGTCCCTGTCGCGTTTGTCATATAGTTCTTCATGTTCTAACACCAACGAGAACAGCAGCTCTACATCCATTTGCCTTGCATCTTCCTCGTCTTATTTCTTCCCATAGACAGTAATTTCTTCCTGGCTGTGTAAACAGCGACGCGTATATCTTATTCGCTGTTGCATATGTGTGCTCTGCAAGACCGTTTTGTGTTTGAGTGCCCCCAAGTTGTGTTTTACTGTAACTTCAGAAGCTCCAAACACATGAGCAAAAGCGCCAATCTCATTGGTTGGATAGTTTTTGACGCGGCGCGTCAAACTAAAAAAAGGCGTTTTTTTTTTTAAATGACGCTTTTACGCGTGACATTTTACGCATCAGTGTGAACACTCACATTGGCCCCCTTTGTTTAGTCATGAGGCGTTAAACGTCAGCGAATAACGAACGCGAAATTCGTCCCGGTGTGAATAGGCCTTTACTACGAAAAAGCCACTGTTTGAGAAACACCCGCAAATTATCTATGATATCCCCAAATCAAATTGTGCCCTGTGATTTCAACACCTCTGATCTCTTAGATTATCTTTGTTCATAATGTTTTAAATAGTAATGATTACACTCTGTGTTACTTACCGATCATCTCTGGCTCCAATTAATCTCTTCAGGTCAAACTCCTGCAGTGCCTTCTTTGAGGACAACAACACAAACACTACAGCTGACCACTGAGACGAGGAGAGTGTCACAGCACGTAATCCTCTACGGTTCATATGAGGTTTAGCTTCGTTCACTAGTGAAAGATCACCCAGTTCATTCAGACAGTGAAACAGATTGATGTATTTCTCTGGAGAGGGATTCTCACTGATCTTCTCTTTAATATAGTCGGCTGTTTCCTCATTGTTGTGAGAGCTGTTTGCTGTCTGTGTCTTTAGTTCTTGTAAGAGACTCTGATTAGACTCCACTGATAGACCCAGAAGGAAACGAAGGAAAAGGTCCAGATGCCCATTTCTACTGTGTAAAGCCTCATCTACAGCTCTCTGATGGAGATCAGATAGGGACACTTTGCCTCCAATAGTTGGTTTGGTAATCTGGTCAAACACATTGATGTTATTGTTGATAAAGGAGATATGCACATATAGAGCTGCTAGATGTTCCTGAATGGTCAGATGAACAAAGCAGAAGACTTTCCCCAGACACAAGCCCAACTCCTCTCTGAATATCTGAGTGCACAATCCTGAGTAAACTGATGCTTCTGCCACATCAATGCCACACTCGCTCAGGTCTTCCTCATAGAAGATCAGGTTGCCTTTCACAAGCTGCCGATACGCCAGTTCCCCCAGTTTGAGGATCATGTCTTTATCTTTCACTCTCTTCTCATAGTCCTTCTCATGTTTGATGTTGGTCTGAATGAGCAGGAAGTGTGTGTACATTTGAGTGAGAGTGTTGGGAATCTCTCCTGTCTCTGCTTCACTGCACATCTCCTCTAGAACAGTGGCTGAGATCCAGCAGAACACTGGGATGTGGCACATAATTAAGAGGCTCCTTGAGGACTTCAGGTGTGAGATGATCCTGTCGGCCAGACTCTGATCACTGATCCTCTTCCTGAAGTATTGCTTCTTCTGTATGTGACTGAAGCCTCGTACCTCTGTCACTCGATGGACACACTCATAGGGGACGAGATCCGCTGCTGCTGGTCTGGAGGTGATCCAGATGAGAGACGAGGGAAGCAGATTCCCCACAATGAGGTTCGTCAGCAGCTCGTCCACTGAGGCTGATTCAGTCACATCACACAACCTCACATCGCTCTGAAAATCCAGAGACAGACGACACTCATCTAGACCATCAAAGATGAACAGCACTTTATACTCATCACTGGATATGGCCATTTCTCTGGTTTCAGGGAAGAAGCGATGAAGAAGATCTGAAAGACTGAGTGTTTTGTCCTTCATCAAGTTGAGCTCTCTGAAAGCCAGTGGAAATATGAGCTGGACGTCCTGATTCTCTTTCCCTTCAGCCCAGTCCAGGATGAGCTTCTGCACAGAGACTGTTTTCCCAATGCCAGCGACTCCCTTTGTCAGCACAGTTCTGATGTGTTTGTCTTGTCCAGATAAAGGTCTAAAGATGTCATTGCATTTGATCGGTGTGTCCTCTGTTTCTGCTCTCCTGGACAGTGTCTCAATCTGTCTCACCTCATGCTCATTACTGATCTCTCCACTTCCACTCTCTGTGATGTAGAGCTCTGTGTAGATCTCATTCAGGAGTGTTGGGTTTCCCTGCTTTGATATTCCCTCACACACAAACTCAAACTTCTGTCTCAGATTTGATTTCAACGTGTTGAGGACTTCAGAAGGTTTAGAGTCATGACTGTAAGATTAAAAAGTCAGAGAAGTAAATAACCATAAATGACAAAGTATATTGTTTTTGGACACAGAACATCATTAGGTTTCTGAAATGTTTTAATTAGGGCCCAAGCCCTGAAAGGGCGAAGGCCCTATTGTTTTCCTTAGGATAGATTTTTTTAAAAATGTTCTATCGACTATTCAAGCAGTTTTGGGGCCCTTAACATGCTCGAAAACTCTTGAAACTTTGCACATGGGTCAGAACCCGTGGCCATCAGGGCCGGGCTGAAGCTGGTACCCAGGCGTGGTAGGGAGGCTCGACAGCGCCCCCAGCAACGGGCTCCGAAAACTTGGTCCATAAATCAAACACACTTGCATGTAATAATATGAAACTCGGTACACATTTAGATCTCATCGGTTCATCTATACCTCACACTCTTACTTTTTACCCCAGCCCAACAGGAAGTCGGCTATTTAGGGTTGTTTGGAAAACGAATGCAATGGAATTTGAAATACTCCTCCTAGAGAATTCTAACACACGGCACGAAACTTGATCAGCATGAAGTCAAGACATTGAGGATTAAAGTTTGCGAGGGGATTTTTCATATCTCGAACGGTTTGGCCGTGGCGCGGAAACAAAATTATTACGAAATTAAACGAAACTGGAAGTGTGTTATAAATTCTTTATACATAAATGATCTTGGTAAAACTTCATCAGTGCATTCGTTGTAAGAGGCCGGTCACATGGATGTGACTATTGTGAGTCAAAGTTATAGCGCCACCAACTGGACCAGCAGGAAGTGTGTCACTTTTAAAATGCTTTGAAATAACCCTCTTATTTTTACCCGATTTGCTTCAAACTTTATGTGTATAATGTAAACACACGACAGATATAGACCTATGAAAAGATTATTGATATCTTAGATACTGTTGCCGTGGCAACGCATCAAACTTTAATATTCTTGTTCGATGCTTTTGAGACTCTTAGCATGCTTTAAATTGGATAAAATTCGACAGACACATTACATTTCTTAGCCAGTAGACATGTGCAAAGTTTCAGAAACGGGCGTGGTGAAGGCTCAGTAGCGCCATCTTTTGTCAAAAGTGGGGGGATTAATTTTATCTACAGTTACAAAAATCGGTATGTATATTGTTCTCCTCAAGCCAGAAAACTTTCTAATTTACAATTATTAGCTCCGACCAACAGAAAGTCAGATATTTTGGTTTAAATATGGTGAGCCTCTCTCTGAGCATACGTCTCTGTATGGCAAGCCCTTTTAACATTTAAAAGCTAAGTTTGACTATCCAGAATTAACATTGTAGATATCAACAACGTCTTTCTGACTAGTCGTAATTACATTTTGGATAGTTTGTATTATCATTTAAGATATCTGTAACGTAATTGTGACTAGTCGAAATGACAGATAGAGTATGGCAAGCCGTTTTAACATTTAATCATTTTAACCTACTAGTCTCTATTTTCATGCTACCGTTGTAAAGAACGATACTTTTAAACATAACCCTAAATCGCCATAAGGTGTCGCCAGGCGGCGTCTTAATGAACGAGTCATCGATTCATTCGTTCAAAATGCTGAATCATTCAGTAATGAGAAAACACATTGCTTTGAGATGCACAATGGTTCGCTGTGATCTTTGTCTAACTATTTTCTCTGCTGAAACAGAAAAAAAGTAAATATTGTAAAATGTAAGTGAAATCTAAAATGTAAGTGACGTGTCTTGTGTGTGTAACTACGTTTGTTGCAGTGATAAGAGTTGCACCCTTGTTAAAGTTTAAAGCAACAATACCTAAGATTTAGTTGCCGCTAGAGGGCGCTATATTCAATACAACAACATCGGCTTTGCTTGATGACGACGTGGAGGAACGCGGAATGATCATGGGAACTGTTGTTTTCAACTCCACCGTGGATAAATCAGTCAGAAGGGAATCGAAAATTAGTTGTCATGGATGGGTAAAGTTCGATTTCTATAAACGTTGCGTTTAATGACATGCTTGTTTTTCATTAAACTGAAATAACCGCAAGAAAAGTCAGGTTTAAAAGGAAATTAGTTATCACAGATGTTACTGTACGAGTCACTGGACGAAGCTATGGTGGAGAGGGTTTGAAGGGGCAGGTCTCTTGCATGGAGTTGACGTGGCTGGTCCTCCTTGGTAACTTCATAAAAATAAAAAATCTATTTAAATGTACATTTGACACATCTTTTCATGTCGTGTAAGTATTCAACCACAGCTACAGTTTCACAAAATTAACGTTAAGGGGGTCGCACACCGGACGAGAAGCTGCAGCGCCGTGTCCCGCCACATCTTTAAAATTCGAACACATTATTATCTATAAGTGTACACATACCGGCGGCGCCATTCTGCGTCTGTCCGCGGCGCCCAGCAACGTCTCAGGACCGTGTTCAAAATCCTGTTGCGCCACAGAGCGCCATTTTCATAGTTTTATATAAAATTTTTATTATTTTTGTCTCAAATCGTTGCTAATGGATCCTGACTTCGCCCTATGCAGCAATATGCATTTAGTTTTGCAGTCATTTATAGAAATCAGCTGCTTGCTGATGTTATTATTAGGTTTTTCAGGTGAGATTCTCAATTCATTCAGTGAACGGATGCTCTGAGGTAAAGTTTTCAGAATGCAGACTCAGCAACGATTGTATTTAATTGTACAGTACAATCATAACATAGAACAGACATTATCTTCATTTCCTAAACGTGGCGCAGCGCTTCTCGTCCGGTGTGCGACACACTTTACAGCCAACAGTTCACATTCCGAGAATAAATGAAAAGAATAATTGTGCTCCATTCCATAACCAATGCGCGAAACAAGCTGACGTTTGTTGCTTGATAGACGTTAACGCACAACTACCGCATTTGTCCAGGACTACACGCAGTACGAGCGGAAACCGAGGTAAGCGGATATGACGTGATTGACTGGCGACTGCCAGATCACACCTGCTCATACGCCCCGTTTCCTTGGTTAAAATCTAAATTTTTTCGCGATTTAAACATTGTTTGATACATTTGGAATATTGTGAGTTAGTCCAAACCGTGGGTTCGTGGAAAAAACCCCATGTTAAAAAGCTGCCAACGGACCCACAATGGCCCCGATGGATCGCAGGAGTTCGTGGGATGCCCACTACCCTATAAGCTTGGTAGAGAGAGGGCCTTTTACGACTAACCCCCTTTTTACCAATACCCACGGATTTCGGCCGAAACGGACGCCTATAGTTGGCGCTAGAGAGTCGAAACCCCCCCGCCCCCCCATCCCACGGACCCACTATTCGTCCGACCGTCCACCGGGCGGGTGGGAGTTTCACGGAATACTAACCCGCCCACTCCCAGGCCACGCCCCCCGTCCCACGGACCCACTATCGTCCGATCGCCCACCAAACCGAGCCGACGCGTCGGGGCCCGCCCCCGGCCACGCCCCCGTCCCACGGACCCACTATTTGTCCGATCGCCCACTAAACCGGGCAAACGCCCCGGGACCCGCCCCCGGCCACTCCCCCGTCCCGCGGACCCACTATTTGTCCAATAACCCACTATATTTACCAAAAGTGCCGTAAGCCCACGCCCCCACTCCCGGGCCACGCCCCCATCCCGCGGACCCACTATTTGTCCAATAACCCACTATATTTCCCGAAAGTGCCGTAGGCCCCCCCCACACGCTCCGGCACTTCGGGGGCCGCCCGGCGGGGCCGCCCACCCCCGTCACGGGGCCCCGACCCGGCTCGCTCTCACGGTCACGCCTCTGGGCCGAGGCCAGGCTAAATCGTCAAGTCCGCCCGAGGGCCCGGCGCTTCGGGCGTGTCGCTCGGGGAGGGCCCGAGAGTCGGCGTGCCGAATTTGGGGCCCCTGGGGCCTTTCTGTAAAAATCCCACTCGCCCATTAAATGAATGTATTCGCCACAGCGGTTTCGTGGACGCCGCTTCGCAAGGGCCTATCGACTAGGGGGCGCCGTTTTCCTTCTCGCCGCGGCCCCCCGGCGCGGGCGGAAAAGTTTGGGGGCCCTCGGACCTCGTTCGCCGGTCGAAAGGCCCCGAAAAGGGAAGCGCGTCCGCAAAACCGCTGTGAAACAGGTGGTCCCTGGGACGGCCCCCGTACGGGGACGCAGGGTCGTGGCGCGTTGAGATTTGAGATCCTGGCCCTCCAGGGGCCCCTGACGCGGGGCCCCGAAGCGCGGATCTCTGGGGCCTTTAGAAAAATTTGACGTTGCTCTAGCGCCCCCTGCTTTTGGTATGTCGGTCGGGGAGGGCCAAGGGGTGGGCGTGCCGAATTTGGGGCCCCGGGGACATTTTGAAAGAAATCCCACTCGCCCACTGAATGAATGTATTTCGCCACAGCGGTTTCGTGGACGCCGCTTCGAAACGGCCTATCGACCGGTGGGCGGCGTTTTCCTTCTCGCCACGGCCCCCCGGCGCGGGCGGGAAAGTTTGGGGGCCCTCGGACCTCGTTCGGCGGTCGAAAGGCCCCGAAAAGGGCATGCGTCCGCAAAACCACTGCGAAACAAGTGGTCCCTGGACGGCCCCCGTACGGGGACGAAGGGGCGTGGCCTCTTGAGATTACAGATTCCGACTCTCCTGGGGCCCCTGACCCGGGGCCCCGAAGCGCGGATCTCTAGGACCCTTTGAAAAAATCGCCCCTCCCCCGCTAAATGCCTGAAATGGCATTTTCAGTCTCAGAGTGAAAAAGCCATGAGAGAGGATTTTTTCACACAGGCCCGGAAAAGTGTGCCTCTGCTCTAGCGCCCCCTGCTTTCGGTATGTCGGTCGGGGGGGCCGAGGTGCCAGCACGCCGAATTTCGGGCCCCTGGGACGTTTCGAAAAATATCCCGCTCGCCCATTAAATGAATGTATTTTGCCAAACGGGCCTTCGCGGACGCCGCTTCGCGACGGCCGATCGACTCGGGCGCGACGTTTTCCGACTCGCCACGGGCCCCCGACGCGGGCCCCAAATTTTGGGGGCCCTCGGACCTCGTTCAGGGGTCGAAAGGTCGAAAAAGGGTGAAAAA